GATGAACCCGGACTCGGGACGACCGAAGAAAGTTGCACCACGACCTCCTCCGAGCCGAAAGCCGGAAGGACGGAAGCCGCCCGCACCACGCCGGATGTAGGCCGGACAACGCGGCTCTCGCGAGAACTCCGGCTCCGCCGGTCCCAGCGACACCCTGGCCGCCGTTTTTCTTGTGGGCAGGCGCCCGAGGCTGACGGCTGGAGGGCCGGGCGTCGGGGTGAGCTGTGGCTGGGAATCCGGAAGGGGGTTTCGGGACAGTTCGCCCGGCAGGAGGCAGAGAAGAAGGGGCTGCTCCTGAGGTCCTGCCTCCTGCTGTCCCCACGCTTCCATATCGTGAGGGCCACCCTCGGGTCCCTGTCACCCAACCCCAGGACCCCGCCCCTCCGCTGAAGGGTCCAGGACCCCAGTACTCGGCGACCGCGGCCTCTCCTAAGCATTTTACTTGTGAAATCAGACTAGTCGGGTCTAACTCCAGTCCAAGTGTGAATTGTGCGATTCCGCGGCTTCCAGTCTCAGACTCCGTCATCCTGGTCTGCAGGACTTTCTGAGATCCTGAGCTTCGGTCCCGGCTCCTGCCTTTGGAGGAGACTCAGCTCCGGCTCCGCCAGGGCCCGTACAGGTGGTCTGCGACCCCGCGCCCACGACCAAGTCTTCCGACTGCTCGGCCTGCCTTCTGGTCCCCCCGCGGACCGGAACGTCGGGACCTCTCCATCCACAAAGCCAGGTCAGCTACTGCCCACCCCAGCCAGGGAACGATGGGTGTGGCTCTTCCCATCTGGGCTGGACGTCGCGGGGAGGACAGATGGGGGACAGACGTGGGGGAACAGACTGGACAGAGCTGCTCTTCTGGGGGGGCGATGGTCATTGGGGAGGAGGCGGAGAGAGCTGGACATCGGGAAGGGTGAGCAGAAAGGTAAGAGCTGGTCATCTGGAAGGGATGGGGCGGACTGTTTTTAAACCATTCCCCATCCCTGCGGGTAGGTGGGGGTGACAAGAGGGGCGTGAGCTGGCTCTGCAGGCTCGGCAGCCTCCCCCAGACAGCCACCGCCCCTACCGGGGGAGCCCTGTGATCTCGGCCCCTCCCTCAGAGGACCGGGTGTGCGTCTTCCTCAACTGCATCTTGTCGCTCGCCCTCTTCTCCCTAGCTCCCTGAGTCAATGTCTGTCGCATGTGTGCTGCTTTGTGGCTGACATTTGTTGAGGGCTCACTATGTGTCAGGTACCGTGCCATGGACTTTCCATGTATGAAATCATCAGACCCTCACAGAATCCAGCGTTGGTAGCATCATTACTCACACTTTAGAGATGAGGACACCGAGGTCGTGAGAGGTGAACCTAGGTGACAATTGGTAGGGGGCAGATCTTGGATTCAAACCCAGTTATATTTCATCCCAAAGCCTGTGCTGTTAACCATACACTTCCCTGGGTGATTGCTTTCTGGCCGGTCACTGTCCCTTACTGAGCACTGATATTTGCAGATGCTGGGCAGGCCCTGGGCAGGCAGTGAGCACCTGGTTTCTGAGTTCTGGACAGTGTACTTAGTGTGTGCTGAGTTATTTGAGCACCAAGGAGTTGGGCAAATTCCAGAGGATCACGACTCAAAAGACCAAGAGTCCAGGCTGGTTTTGCTACAATGCAGGCTGTATGATGAGATCCCTGAACTTAATGAGTATCAGTTTCTTTACTATAAACAGAACCATGGTGAGAATCAAATGGAATAATGACTGTGAGGGTTGTAAGGTGGCTGAGGATTGCTTTTTAATTTTTATTTAACTCAGAGATCTCTTTGGTTATGATGTAGTTGAGCTCCTCAAGGTCATGGCTTGCTCTAGTTTGGATCTGCTGGTGGCACTGACTGTGTTTTAGGGACTAGAAGTGATTCCC